AGAGGTAAAAATCTCTCACAAAAGCTTCTATTTAAATTCAAGTCATTGTTCACTGTGTCCTAGCGTGTTTTGTGTGTGCGTGTGTGTACGAGTGTGTGTGTGTGTGTGTCTGTGTGTTTGTGTGTACGTGTGTGTGTGTCTGTGTGTTTGTGTGTACGTGTGTGTCTGTGTGTTTGTGTGTACGTGTGTGTGTGTATGTGTGTTTGTGTGTACGTGTGTGTCTGTGTGTTTGTGTGTACGTGTGTGTGTGTCTGTGTGTTTGTGTGTACGTGTGTGTGTCTGTGTGTTTGTGTGTACGTGTGTGTGTGTCTGTGTGTTTGTGTGTACGTGTGTGTCTGTGTGTTTGTGTGTACGTGTGTGTGTGTGTGTGTGTTTGTGTGTACGTGTGTGTGTGTCTGTGTGTTTGTGTGTACGTGTGTGTGTGTCTGTGTGTTTGTGTGTACGTGTGTGTGTGTCTGTGTGTTTGTGTGTACGTGTGTGTCTGTGTGTTTGTGTGTACGTGTGTGTGTGTCTGTGTGTTTGTGTGTACATGTGTGTCTGTGTGTACGTGTGTGTCTGTGTGTTTGTGTGTACGTGTGTGTATCTGTGTGTTTGTGTGTACGTGTGTGTGTGTCTGTGTGTTTGTGTGTACGTGTGTGTGTGTCTGTGTGTTTGTGTGTACGTGTGTGTGTGTCTGTGTGTTTGTGTGTACGTGTGTGTGTGTCTGTGTGTTTGTGTGTACGTGTGTGTGTGTCTGTGTGTTTGTGTGTACGTGTGTGTGTGTCTGTGTGTTTGTGTGTACGTGTGTGTGTGTCTGTGTGTTTGTGTGTACGTGTGTGTGTGTCTGTGTGTTTGTGTGTACGTGTGTGTCTGTGTGTTTGTGTGTACGTGTGTGTGTGTCTGTGTGTTTGTGTGTACGTGTGTGTGTCTGTGTGTTTGTGTGTACGTGTGTGTGTGTCTGTGTGTTTGTGTGTACGTGTGTGTCTGTGTGTTTGTGTGTACGTGTGTGTGTGTCTGTGTGTTTGTGTGTACGTGTGTGTGTCTGTGTGTTTGTGTGTACGTGTGTGTGTGTCTGTGTGTTTGTGTGTACGTGTGTGTCTGTGTGTTTGTGTGTACGTGTGTGTGTGTCTGTGTTTGTGTGTACGTGTGTGTGTGTCTGTGTGTTTGTGTGTACGTGTGTGTGTGTCTGTGTGTTTGTGTGTACGTGTGTGTCTGTGTGTTTTGTGTGTACGTGTGTGGTGTGTCTGTGTGTTTGTGTGTACGTGTGTGTGTCTGTGTGTTTGTGTGTACGTGTGTGTGTGTCTGTGTGTTTGTGTGTACGTGTGTGTGTGTTGAATGTGTGTGTGTGTGTATGTGTGTGTGCGTGTGTGTGTACTCACCTAATTGTACTCACCTAATTGGTTGCAGGGTTCGAGACTCAGCTCCTGGCCCCGCCTCTTCACTGATCGCTACTGGATCCTCTCTCTCTCTGCTTCCCGAGCTTTGTCATACCTCTTCTTAAAACTATGTATGGTTCCTGCCTCCACTACTTCACTTGCTAGGCTATTCCACTTGCTGACAACTCTATGACTGAAGAAATACTTCCTAACGTCCCTGTGACTCGTCTGAGTCTTCAGCTTCCAGTTGTGACCCCTTGTCCCTGTGTCCCCTCTCTGGAACATCCTATCTCTGTCCACCTTGTCTATTCCCCGCAGTATCTTGTATGTCGTTATCATGTCTCCCCTGACCCTTCTGTCCTCCAGTGTCGTCAGTCCGATTTCCCTTAACCTTTCCTCGTACGACATACCCTTGAGCTCTGGGACTAGCCTTGTTGCAAACCTTTGTACTTTCTCTAACTTCTTGACGTGCTTGAGTGTGTGTGTGTGTGTGTGTGTGTGTGTGTGTGTGTGTGTGTGTGTGTGTGTGTGTGTTTGTGTGTGTGCATATTGTGTGTGTACTCACCTAGTTATGGTTGCAGGGGTCGATTCATAGCTCCTGGCCCCGCCTCATCACTGGTCGCTACTAAGTCACTCTTCCTGCTCCATGAGCTGTATCATGCCTCTTCTTAAAGCTATGTGTGGATCCTGCCTCCACTACATCACTTCCCAAACTATTCCACTTCCTGACAACTCTGAGACTGAAGAAATACTTCCTAACATCCCTGTGATTCATCTGTGTCTTCAACTTCCAACTGTGACCCCTTGTTACTGTGTCCCATCTCTTTAACATCCTGTCTTTGTCCACCTTGTCAATTCTTCTCAGTATTTTGTATGTCGTTATCATGTCCCCCCTATCTCTCCTGTCCTCCAGTGTCGCCAGGTCGATTTCCCTTAACCTCTCCTCGTAGAACACGCCATTTACTCCGGGACTAGTGTTGTTGCAAACCTTTGCACTTTCTCTAATTTCCTTACATGTTTGGCTAGGTCTGGGTTCAAAACTGGTGCTGCATACTCCAATATGGGCCTAATGTGCACAGTGTATAAGGGTCCTGAACGATTCCTTTTCGAGATGTCGGAATGCAATTCTTAGGTTTGCCAGGCGCCCATATGCTGCAGCAGTTATTAGGTTGATGTGCACCTCAGGAGATGTGCCGGGTGTTATACTCACCTCAAGTTCCTTTTCTTTGCGTGAGGTTTGTAGTCTCTGGCCCCCAAGACGACTGTACTCCGTCTGCGGTCTTCTTTGCCCTTCCCTAATCTTCATGATTTTGCACTTGGTGGGGTTGAACTCCAGGAGCCAGTTACTGGACCAGGCTTGCAGCCTCTCCAGATCCAGGAGCAAGTTGCTGGACCAGGCTTGCAGCCTCTCCAGATCCCTTTGTAGTTCTGCCTGGTCCTCATCCGATTGGATTCTTCTCATCAACTTCATATCATCTGCAAACAGGGACACTTCGGTGTCTATTCCTACCGTCATGTCTTTCACAAATACCAGAAACAGCACTGGTCCTAGGACTGACCCCTGTGGGACCCCGCTGGTCACAGGTGTCCACTCTGACACCTCGCCACGTACCATGACTCGCTGCTGTCTTCCTGACAAATATTCCCTGATCCATTGTAGTGCCTTCACTGTTATCCCTGCTTGGTCCTCCAGTTCTTGCACTAATCTACCCACTAATCTACCCGCAATCTACCCACCCCTCTCTCTCTCTTGTCTTACTGCTGTTATCCTGTCATAGAACTCCAGTAAATATGTGACACAGGATTTCCCGTCCGTGAAACCGTGCTGGTTGTCATTGATAAGATCATTCCTTCTAGGTGCTCCAACACTCTCCTGATAATCTTCTCCATGACTTTGCATACTATACTTGTCAGTGACACTGGTCTGCAGTTTAATGCTTCATGTCTGTCTCCTTTTTTTTTAAATTGGTGCCTTCTATAATTGTGTGTGTGTGTGTGTGTGCTTACTCGGTATTTAGTGGATGAGGGGGGGATGCTTATGTACATACACACATACATACACACAACAGATAAGACAACCCTTAGTATCGACCAGTGAAGAGGCGGGGCCAGGAGCTATGACTCGACCCCTGCAACCACAAATAGAAGAGCACATATAGGTGAGTATACACACAAACACACACTAGCCACCAGTTACCACCTACACTCCCCCTAGATGGATTATACCACTACATCCCCCTAACTCTACCCTGGTACCTACTTACCCTCAGCAAGCTTCTCCGGCTTATGTAACTCCTGACCTTCACTTGTAGAAAGTAAAGGTCGCGAAGGAGATGACGGTCCTTGCATCTCTACCTTCCTCGTTATGTTGTTAAGATGTACCTGGCTTAATAACCCAGGGGGCTTAGTAACCCAGGGTAATTAAACCAGGAAGTTTCTTTT